AAAAAAAAAAGCAAATTTTTTCTTTTACCCTTTTTGAAAAGGGCGGTGAAATTTATTCAGACGGCAATATGACCCATGCAAAACGAAATTTCTTCAAAATAGTTTGGGAAACGTCTTTTTAAACACGAGCTTTTTTGGGTGGGGTGAAGACAAGTTTTTCTACAAGGTTTAAATTAAACCCTTTTGATATGCAAAAATCAAGAAGGACAAAAGAAAATTTATTCTCAGGAAAGAAAACAGTTTCCTTTTCCCGATTTTTGCTTACTGTATACAAAAACGGGTTAAGCAAGTTTTTTTGGTAAAATGAAAAGATGGACAGCATAAAAATCATTTTTGGTCGGTTTCCGTTCAATAAAAATCTGGAAAAAGGAAAAAAGCTGGTATTTTGACTTTTTTATTTTAGATTCAACAGCACTATTTTTTTTTAAAAGGTCTTAAAAAGAAAATATAAATCATTATACATCTATAAATTAAAAAAACAATAAAGTTTAAAGAAAATTGAAAAGTCACATCCATACATTTAAAAAGAAAAAAAATGTTTTTACAAAACAGGTGCTACATCATAAATTGTGCAATATGTTTTTTTGGGAAGTTAGACTAAGCGCATCCAGCTTTTAATTTGATTAGATCGAAAGGGAGACAAAATAATTTACTGTTACCATATGGATGCAATAGCCTTACCCATCACACCTATCGGAAACCAACAAAGGAAAATCAGTTGTTTGCAAAGTATAAGATTTTTTTTTCTAGCAACTTTTTAAGTCAGGTTCTTCTTGACATTGGTCCTTCTTCATCACTGATGTTGATCGTCGAAGTTCTGTGAAATATTGTGATTTGTCCGAATAGCAACAAGAATGAAATACACAAAATTTAGGCCGAAAAAAAATGGATACGAATAAATCCCACCCTGGGAGGTTTATCTCTTTTGTTAAAGGCAATTTTGCAATACAAACTCCCTGTTCTAGAGTAAAATTCGTTTTGGAAGTGACTTGTGTAAAGAATTGGAATACCGAGAGGATGATTGAAATGAACCAGCACACCCAAAGAGATATAGGCCTTCATTAGGTCCAAACCTCAACTGACCAAACGGAAAAAACTTGATCACTAAAAGTCTATCTAATGTTATCAAGCAAAAAGAGAACAACTGGCTTCAGATATGAAATGTAAGATAAAACCCGGCAGTAATACACCAATTACTGTTTCTCCCATATCGTCCACAAGTTTTATATATATTGAAAAAGAAAAAGAAATAAATTTATTTGAATTTAATAATTATTTTTTTGTTTTATTTTACCAATAGGTTCGTCGTCTATTAATGTAAAATAAATATTTTTTATTATTACCTATTTCCTTTGGCATGTACATGGTAATGGAAACAAATTCTATTTTAAGTAATCCCATTCTTGATGTGTGAAGAAAATAAATTACATTTGTAAATAACAACTTACGGATTATTGACTTAATTAACTGTTTAAATACTTCTTTTGAAAAAAGGATACTTCGATCAAATAATGTCTGTAAACAATTTATATTTTTATATCGACTCGTTTGTGTGTGAAATGATATAAAAGTTTATTATTTTATGGAATATAGCAATAAAGAAACATATAGCTTTTATTTAGTCGTAAATAGTATATAGCTACCAACTATGAAGCCAACGTAAGGTGTACATGTACCATATCTTCTTTTGTTTGGTATAATTAATTTTCGTTATTTGTAGAAATTGTATTTAATCTAAATGATGATTAATAACTGTTTCACTGCAACATATCGGCAGTTTTTGTTAATATTAATTTAGACTTGATACCTGTTTGCTATAAGAGAAATTAATTTGACCCTGTTTTTAAAATTTAACAGTAAAAATGTTATTTCTGAACGGAGAAACAGTCAGTATCTGAAGGGTCTTTACCAACTGCTGTTACAGGCCACAATATCTTGCTCGAGTCTCTGTCGAATTTCCACCGAGAACTAGATATTCCCGTTTGTAACGACAGTCGGTGTTTGATTCATTTTCTTGCATATTGCAAATCAATGATATTTCGAAAAGAAATTGTGAAAACTAATATTTCCATTTAGCACTTTTTTTTTCTAACTTTGTGTGTTTGTTTGATTGGGTTTTACGTCACACCGATACCGTATAGGTCATATGGCGACTGGTGGATTAAAACATCAGTGTATTATTTCAGGCACAAACGGGCACCTAAGTTGATAAACCGACGTTCCGTAAGCTAGCTTCCTCCCATGAAAGAATCCAAAGTCCCTCTCGGGATCGCCCTACAGCAGTAGGGGGCAAGTGGTTTAAGTCAACCCTTTAACCCACTAATCCACTTTTTTTTTTTATGTAGCAAAGTATGAATTTAAAATTTAATATCAGCACAATCACGTAATTTGCTAAGAATACAATTATTGAAAAAGGGCTTGGAAAATTACTTTTCATAAAAACACGCGGGTTTGTTTACATGGGGTGATGAAGTTTTTTCTAGCCCCTTTGTAAACAAAAATTTTAAATTTTTTTATATCAGCAAATGCTTTATGCTAAAAAGCAATTGTTTGATAAAGGGCCGGGGAAAATGACTTCATATAAAAACGCAGGGGGGTACAGGGGTTTATGCAGTTTTTCTAGCACCGTGTAAAAAATAAAATTTTTCTATTGTAAAGAGATGTTAAAAAAAAATCAGCAACTGCTATCATGATGAGGTAAACACCCATCAGGAAATCTGCAACTGCTAGGTTGGTTACAAATATGCCATATCCTATTTTTAGCCTTTCACGATCGTACACGAGACGGTAGATAATTGACGATAAGTTCCCTAGCAACGAAGCTACCCCAACTATCCAAAGGACAGCTTGAAGTACACAGTTTTTCATAAGGTCTTCACATGAAGAAAATTCATTCTTTAATGGTTTGCAATCTTCTTCACGAACATAATAAGGCCGGATACAGCAGAATTTAAATGCAGGTGTATGAAGCTCCCGAAGTGATCTTACGCCGTTAAACATATATTCTCCAAATTTTATAACTTTATTGCCTTCAAAGTTAATTTTATGAACTTGCGTATTGTTGAAGACATAATTTTCAATTTCCTCAATTTTGTTGTAAGAAATATCGATACTGTCCAACTGCAACCCAGAGAATGTAAGTGAACTAATCCTTTTCAGGTTTGTGCCGGAAATTTTTAAGCTTCTTACTGCTTTCAAACCTTTAAAAGCAGTCGATGAAATCATTGTTAATTCTTTATTTCTATCCAGATTCATATAGGTTAGAAAGCCAAGCTTGCTAAATACCATATCAGGTAATCGCTCTATTCTATTGTTGCTAAGATCTAACGATAACAAATTGTTTAAGTCAAAGAAAGCCCTTTCATCAATATAATGAATACTACATGATGACATATTAAGTCGTAACATGTAAGGAAAATTTAAATTTTGTTTATGTATTTTGTTAACTTGTGGATTTATACTTAGATCAAGACTTCTAGCCTGTACAGTCAATGATGAAATATCAGATATTGATATATTGACTGCCTTACAATTAATAACATCACCCGTACAATTACATTTCTCTGGACATATAGAATTACAAAGTCGTTCATCATCGCCATTTCTGCAATGTATGAAATCATCACATACTTGTTCAAATGGTATACATTGCTTACTAGACAAACATCTGTACTTCCCAGCGCATGGTACAATTGTAGCCTCTGAAACAGACATATTAAGAAAGTATACTTTTACACATGAGTTTTAAAACAAATCGTCATCAAAGGCTACATTATTGCTGATAGAATGATTATATAAAAGATTATTGGTTTTCCTTAGTTGCTAAATTTATGATATGGCCAGGTATCCCGATGTAATCATTTGATAAAGCTAAATATGAAATATAAAATGAAAGTGGGCGGAGTCAAAACTCATCGTACTTCTTTGGTCATTTTGTTTGAAAAATCTGATTGATAAAATAACTTTTTTTTGTTGAATTTTGTTTCGAAAACTATCTAGAATGATAGAAAATGGTTTTAAAAATAGATAAAATTTGAAAAAATTAAATTAATTCTGTCTAAACCCTGTACAAAGGTTTTTTTGTGACGTCACAAATATAAAACCCCAAAAAGCCATGCACAAAAAGCCAAACAAGACCCCTATTTCAAAACCGAAATTATAAAATTATATTTTTTTCCCTAAATATTTATTTTTTTTTGCAAAATAAAATGAAAAAAAAAACACACCATTTTTTTGTGTACTGAAAAGCGCACGTTATGAATACCTTAATCAATATATTACTGCGCGCTGTACAATTGCAGTTGCGTAGCAAGCAAGGGGATTCGTAACCATTTTTCATTGATAATGACATTAAATAAAATGTGGTATATGTATATATTTTCACTCATGCTCGACTCGTGAAAGTATATTCCATATTTCACTCCAACGATAAAATAACCTCTTAATCTTTAAAATCAACGGAAAAAACACCTTTCAAAATCTAAAAAGTTGTAATATTTATATGATTTAACTAATATATTTAGGCAAACGAGTCAATCTGACAATGCTGTTACCTGTACATATTTCTGGAAATCGTCTGAATCCAATCGAAAATAGAGAACTCCATTTACTGATGTGTATATCCTTTACAAATTTGTATCTGTTATCTTTATAAAGTGAAGAACTGAAATCTTTTATCAACCGATAGATTGAAAACGATGGCTCTGAAATATTGGACAATGCTAAGCTAGCGACAACTGATGATTCAATACTGTTTTCCAGTACAATAACCGCTCTTTTTTCTGGCTTGGAAAACTGCAGTGTTTTAAGAAAGTCTCTTGCCATTGTTTTAAACTTGCATCCAGTTTCCTTAGTTTTCTGTTCTCTGGTAACACGTTCTATGTTTATTTCCAATAACCTGTAATCTATGTCAAACTTCATTTCTCTATGCAGAATCTTAAAATAAAACAATCTTACGATGTTATTGCCACTGCTTGTGAAAAATTGTTTAGCTAAATGCGTTGCTGCTTCACTGATCTCAGAGTCATCATTTTCCACAAATAAGATTACTTCTCTATCCGAGTCTCCACAAGCTGAAATTAAAATTAAAATCAAAATACAGAATACACTGTATTTAGGTCAAACAAAATATTTTTACAGTTTTTCCCCTCAGTCTGTTTAAATATCAACAAAAACTCTGAGATAGTTACCAATACACTTGAACTAAATAATTTGCTAATTTTTTCCTATACTGTGTACGACGAATTTGAGAACAGAGTCAGATCTATTTTTTTACAATCAGTATTAATATCTAAGCCACAACTGATCGATTAATGCACAATGTTTAAATTGATCATAAAATTGAAGGACCTTTAATTCTATCTAATTCAACTCCGATATTAACTTGTCCACAGTAGATTTCATTAAACAGAAATTAAAATTAAACCAAAAACTTTAAAATGTTTAAAATTTGATATGCATATAGTAAACAATATTATTTTATGCTTTTCAGTGGATTACTGATTTATCCGTGAAAATTAAATTTGATAATTTCACAGTGAAAATTATCAAAATATAATTTCACTTTTTTCAATGACGAAACTACTTTTTTAAGATTTTCCCTATGAAGTACCTCAATTTTATTTTTGCTGACAATTCTGACAATGTTCGGCTGTTTAAAGAAAAAGCAAAGCTGAAATTGATACATAACTTAAATGTTAGAAGTAATAAAAAGAAGAAAACTTACTTCTACTCATTCAAATTCCAATCACCAAATTTCGTCTCTAATTTTTTTTATTTCATTTTTACAGTCTGAAAAATACATTCCTTCCCCATGAAAAACTGCTCTTGATGACATTTGGGCATATTAAAGTATCCTACGAGCAATAACTGCCATATGCTTTATGAAAAATTAAAAAGCATTGACAGCCTTCACTCGAAGAATAAGTAAAACATCCCAGCGTTCTTGAGCAAGCTTCCAAGTTTTCCATTTTCCTAGCTCCTTTTCTGAATGTTTTCACATCTGTAAACACTTATTTTTTGTCTGTTACAATCCTCAATCAAGTTTTCTTTCTTTTAAAAAGGTGTATGACTAACAAATCCAAATTATATCCCTCTGAATCTTACACAATTATTTTCCTCCCATGAAATACACAACTTTAAAAAAATGGCTGCCGTTTACATTTTACAAAGCCAGGTCTAATATAAATTCGCAGTAAGTAACAGAAATATAGATGGATGGTTCGACTTTTCTCCTACAAGAATTGTTTGTTTTTATTATTAAAACAAGCGATCATTCATATTTTTTTTAATAAAACGAATAAATATCACCGTCATTTAACGTTGACTGGCGGACTTATTTTTCAGCTCAAGACTTTTTGTTTTTAATGAGAAATTCCGACTAAATGGGGCTCTCAATGGGGGAAACAGATGTTAATAATAACGTTAAAATCATGGAAATTTCGTTTTAACTTGTTTTTAAGCATAAAATAAAAAGAAAATTTGTCTATTTGTTGTGTAAGATGTAATTTTATTTCATCTCGTGAACTTTAAAAACAGTATTCTCACTCGTGGCTACGCCACTCGTGAGAATACTGTTTTTAAAGCCCACTTGATGAAATAAAATTTCATCTTACACACAAACAAACAAATATCCTCTATATATTGATACTAGATTACATATTCTATTTATTTCTGAAGGCATTTGAAATAAACACAGATTCACGAAAAATCGTGTCAATTGTTACACCCCGGCCGGACGATTCATTACAAACTTCACTTTTTGTACTTCTGACCTATTTTTGCTGCCAAAATACGACCCTTACTACAAGCTTTGAAATTTTCTATTTCTTGTTTTAATAGATCCAAGTGTTTTAATGCGTAAATATACCGTGTCAACATTATATAACATACGTGTACATGATGTATGCAGTTGTGTGTAGTAAATCGTGCGATTTGTCCTGACTTAATTATTTATTAAGTTGTTGCCCTCTGCATATATATCAATACAATCAAAACAAGCCAAAAAATTGGTTTTAATCACTTCATATTGTAGACCTGAAAATTTAGGTTTGTTGTTTTCTCTCTTTTCGCAAATATAATGAATCCTTTAACAATCTCTGAGAAGGGAAGGCAAAATGGCTGCTAATTGCGAAACGACTTAGCATATTAAATATAGAGCAGAAGTAAAAAATTTTGGTTTTTTTTAAAGTAAATAGTCAGAAGAATGATTTGCTGATTGTTGAGGTTATTGGTCGGAAACTGTTATGATATCAAAAGTCCTTGTTTTACATACAAGATGAATAAGATCTTGACCTTTGGATGCCATGACCCTAATCAATTAGGTTAATGAACTAGCCAGAACAATGCACCTGTACAATTTGAGGACGAAAGGTCCACCGGTTGTTGAGTTATCGACCGATAACCGTACTTATAGACTAGATGAATGTGATCGCGATCTTTGATCAATTGAATCTAAAATAACAAGTTCTTCTGACTTCAAAGACCAATGTGCCTTAGAAAATTGAGATAAAATGATCCAAAAGCTCTGTGGCTATTGGGTGGAAAATGGATGAGAGTTGAAAAAGGATAGCCAAAGCTTGACCAGAACGCCCCGTACCCAATAATCAAAAACGGATCAGAAATCTGCTGCCAAAATCATAGTATATCTTAACTTCAAAGACCATCATTAATATTAATAGCATTAACGATACAATTAAAACAAATATCAAATAAAATATATTAACTCAACAAGTACATTTTCATTTTTAAATAGACAACAGAAAGAAAACACCTAGCTCACAAAACAATCGGGGCTTACAGTTGATTCGGATATAATGTTGGCTTCAAAACTATAAATTATTATAAATCTGAAGATGTTTGAAAATCACAGAAATTATGTCATAGGAATGTTTGATGGAAAGACCTAGCATCAACAGTTAGATCCTTTCAGAGATATCCATTGGTACTTTATCAAACAGGGCATTTAGTGAATATAGCGGTTTGTCTGACTTCTTTGATGGCACTTTCTGTGCTGTGGTATTTCTCACTTAATTGTGAAGGAGCCTAAGCGTCTTCAGTTAGGGTAAAAATTATTGATAAAATTGCAAAGTTGGTAAGTAAAAAGGCTTGTATAAGATATGATCTTTAGGAAAACTATATGATTTTAAAAATAATTTCGACTGGGAAAAGACCTTTTTACATACATCTGTTGAATAAAGTAAAAATTAAGGCTGTGAAAGATAAAACGTTCCATTTGAAGACAAAAAAGCCTAAAATATGTAAATGGTTAAATAATATTCAATCTGTAAGTATTATAGAATCAATGTGTTTTCCTTTAACCTTATTTTGACAAGCATAACAAGTGTTTTTTATAAAACATAATACACTAGTGGTGTTGTAGTTTGTTCATCAAATGCTGTAAACCATTTGCAAAAAACAATAGGAATGTCTGTGATTCGTCGGCAGTAAATCTATCTATAGTGTCTGCCTGATTACGCATAGCATAAAGAAACAAACAAAAAAACCCCAAGAAATTATAGAGATGATAATGGCTCTCCCTGCTTCATACTAAATGATGTCGAAATAATAAGATAAACAGCCACTTTCTTTGACACATGAGTTTACTTGCTCATACAAGACCCTAAGAAAATATTTTTTTGATGATGCACCATAAGCCATACACTTTTTCTTTATACGGGTTCAAACGCCTTTTAAAATTGTCAATAACCATTTACCTATTTACATTTTATCTATTCACAACCAACATAATATCCACTTAGACGTTAAAACAAATACCTACCAAAACGTGGGCATTTCTAAAACAAATGGCATTCGTGAACGTGTACATGCTAGCGAAAGTTTATCTAAAAGATTAAAACCATTATTTAAAAGAACATGTGTGTTGAAGTAAAACCTCTATAGAAATACCTCTCTAAATAAACAACATAATTAGGTCATGTATAGATGTATCAACAATACTTTAAGTCACATCCTGATAAATCGTTAAACACAGTTGTTAAAGCACTTAATAGGATGAAAAATTCCCCAAACATTTTTGCTGTCTTAACTCAGTCGAGAAAAAAGCACTTCAACTTCTTCAATTTCAAAAATGATTAAAAAATGCATTTATATAAATTTTGACAACACTGGAGCTACTAAGTAGTTCGGATCATTCGACGTTTTCGTCATGTGTCTAATAAAACAAAACAGAAATCAGAAAGATGAAAATGAAGTACTTAAAAGCACGTTACGGTTGAAATTTCTATACTTGATCTATTGCCAAATAATGAAAGAATAAAATGGAATTTTGTCCGACCCTTTCACATAAGCTAAAATATGGGCTGATATTATTTCTGCGTCCTGACCTAAACGATCGATTGCTTGGGTCTCATGTTTTGCCCACCACCACATGTATTACCCGCCAAGCAAAAAAAATCTAGAACTAGCATGTTAAAATAGCTATAGAAAACACACCTTTTTAAGCGGGTACGCGGGGTGGAATTAAATAACGGGGGACGCGGGGCAAAATTGAATAGATAACTTAAATAAATAAAACTTTGTCCAGTGATCCCGTTAATTAACGTGTTTTTTGCTACGCACCCCAACAATGACAAATAGCTAATTTTCTCGACTGTTCGCGTGGCGGGTCGCGCGGGCGAAGTTTTATTTACATGTTATAATTATGAATACATGTTTACTAACACTATCGCTACGGTAAATAGAGGTGTATTCCAACGTAATTGAAAAATATCTGAATTTTTAAAATGATATAATTGAATGATATAATTAACTTAACTACTTTTTAACTCAATGTTTCACAATTTAGAATACAAAGTACTTTAGATCCAAACATAATAAAGTACATTGTCAGCATTTACCTGCAACGTAGGAGTTTAATAAAGTCATGTAGTAATAAAAACGATATAACTCTTGTGTAACACTTATATTATGTGATGTAATTTGGGTTGTATACATACGGAATATTATGTTGTACTAGCTTTCTGGGGCTTTGTATTTTGCTACAAGCAGCGATGGAAAATTGATATCTCGCAAGACCGACGTGCGAGTAGAAATACAAACATAAATGGCCGGA